CAACTTTTTATTGCTGCTGCCGAACATATATCCATTGTATTAATGGCTGAAAGCTCCTTGGCTACTTATGTTTTGTGTTCATTTATTCAACAAGAAAAGAAACGAAACCAGCAAAACTCACAGGAACATCTTTTGACTTGGTTGTTCGTTCTGTTGACATCTGCAATAGCCTTTTTCCTTCTCCTAAATAGCGATCCTGTGAAAACTCCAGCTAGTTTCCTGGACGCAGCTTTGAAGTAGTTCCGGACAGAGTGAGTTTTATGTTGATTCTTGTCGGAGTTTTTGTCAGGCAGATCGTGACCCTGTATTCCTAGACTTGATTGGAGGTTACTTGGATGCAGTGCTTTCTTCATTTTCAGAGCTTACGGCCCTTTCCTGAGGTCAGTTTGATCAGGTCTGGCCGTTGCCCAAAGTAAAAGTAAAAGCAACATTGTCTCATTGCTTAAGGATATGGATTTTTTTTTATGGCAGTGACCAAATCAAGCAGATAAATCTCGTTTTCTTGTGGAGCCGGCCAGCAACGCAAGTATGTTAATATCTAAACACAACTAGTAGCATATGCAGTTTGCACCTTAAATGCAATTCGATGTGACTAAACGGCCCAAAGCCCAAATCAAAAGATTCGAATTAGTCCCCCGTTGTACAGGAAAGGTTGCCCATCTTTCTTTCTTGTCACTTGTTACTTTTTAGCAAGGCTACATCATTGGTAATTAGAGGTGCAACCAATAGTTTGTCGGCTACTATAGCAGTTGGGCTCATTCCGGTCAAGGACAGCACACAGCAGTCGCTATATAACTTTAATATGTACGACTAAGATAATAGGCCAAGGTTTATCACTAGGACGAGTGTGTCTCATGGGCTCCCAGTCCCTCGCCTCATCGTGGGGCGGCTACAGGTTTATCTCAAAGAAATTAAGTTTCAAACTCAAAGTCAATTAGTCAGTTCACTTACATGTAAAAGAGTATATGCAATGGCGGTCCTTTTCTTCGAACGTACAGCAATTCATACTGTGGGTAGCCCAAAACAGAACACTGATGTCTCAGGTCAACCAGAGGGCAGAGTCAACCCCATCTTTAGAAGAAAGATACACATACATGAATGAATGGAAACAGGCAGTGAGATTAAAGCTTCAAGCATTTATCACCTATATTTGAGTTAAACCCTGACTGCACTGGAACATCAGATTCTCCATATGGCTCAGGACGGTAAAAATCGTGTACTGTACATTTCTTTGGCTTTCTACAGGAAATTAACAGGAAGATTATTTCTTTTTTACAGGATCTACTGCTCAACATTGTTTACGGCTCGAAAAAAAAAAGAAGAAAAAAACAACTTTGCTCCCCTTGTTGCAGTAGATGACTCCACAATCCATCACCAACACAGGTTTACAGCGAGCAGTCCAAAACCTTGTTCATGAAACTGCTGACCACAAATTATAAATGCAACCAATTAACAACATAAAGAGCGCGTAGATGTTAGGATTAAACAAGTGACACAGCCAGTCAGCTTATAATCACACTTTTGGTAAAGATGCTTGATCTTTCTAAATAAAACTAATTCACAACTTTATGTGTACGGTTAATTTTCTCTTTGTAGTTTTTTATAGTCAGCTATTATTTATATCTTAGAATTTAAGCATCCTGTTATTGCAAAGAACTATTGGCATGTTGAAATAATAGCACTGAGTTCCACAATGGCAGAATGTATTATGACCTTAGTACCAGGTTGGAGGTGTTTGGGGGTTTATTTGAAATGGCTTGTCAAAGAAAGTAAAAGAAAAGCAAACTAAAGAATCATTAGAACAACTGGTTATGATACTGACCAGTTTCATCAAAGTTGACTCTCTCTCCAGTGGAAAAGATATTGTAGAAAAGAGCCGCTAGAAAGTATAAGAGTGAAGTGAGGAATAAAAATCCTTGGAATGATCCCACCAATTCAACAAAGAAACCAGCTCCAACTGTTCCCAGAATAGCAGCAAATGTTCCGGCAGTATTTGAAATTCCTAAGGTCAGAAATAAAAGCAATCATTGTATGAACTTAACCAACCTGTATATTTCTCCAGCCAAAACAAGAAACAAACTGGAAACTTTTCTTATTTTTCACTAGAATCTGAAAACAGAATATGCTCCTCCTAATAAATTCATTTATTTGTCATTAGAATTACAATGTAATTAGCATGCTCAAGTTCATTTCTTCAGAAATGATACTGGAAGTCCATGTACCAAGATAATTGTTTATGCTTAACAATTTACTTTCTTATCAATAAACACAGGCAATGTGCTCATATACACATAGTATGGAGGAGTTAGCATCTACATTAAGAGCATAACAATAAGTGTTTAAAGCAGTGTAACAATGATTTACATTTTGATGGACAAATTTGACAAGAACTATTCCTTTGCAACATGAAGTTTATCACTTAAGGCAGTTTGCTCTTGAAATTTTCATATGAAGAAAGCAATCAAACAAAAAATACATGATGATGGAAATGAATTATCGTACCATGTAAAACACCAGAATAATGTGGAGCAATCTCCTGGTAATAGAATTGAAAGGGAGAAAGTTAGGCGAATGTGAAAAATTCATTTGATCTTATAGTTTAACTTTTGAAAATAAGTGATTTATCTGACCTGAAGGTTAACAAGGAAACCACAGTGACTGAATGCTTTCAGCCCAACAGCTAAACTAAGCCAAGCAGAAGCAGTCGATGGACTTTTTGCTGCAGTTAAACCAATCAGAGCAATCGCAGGACCAATAAAACCAATGGACTGCAGATAAGATACAGATTGGATGCTTAGCAAGCTGAAAGAAAGTTCAAAGAACCAAATGACTAATGGCGAACAACCACCACAAGAAAAGGAGGTAAAAGCACAATTAACCATAGTATAACTGACCCATTTTTTAAAGTCAATAGTATCATTTTCTCCCAAAATTACCTGCATGATCTTGCGAGTCAAAGTGATACTGGTACCATTCCGTATCAATGTGTCTGACCATAAACCAGCCAAGTATCCTGTCAATGCCATCATGCTCCATGGAACAGCACTAAACCATGCTGCTTGTCTGAGATCAACATGATGAACCTATGCCAAAATGGTCCTTATTTGCACCTTATTCTAAAGACAGTAAGGCTACATTTACTCACCCATCACAAAATGAACAGCTCATAGTTAACTTTTACCCCTTACCGAGTTAAAGTAGATAGGCATCCATGAAAGAATAACGAAAAAGCCCTGCAAAAATTTTTTAATGAAAAGGTTAGAGTATTTGCAGGTGTGTAAAACTAAGTGACTGAAACATATATAATCTAATGAGAATTTTACATTGGTAGAAAACTATTTTGCCCAGTTAATGTGATTTCAGCCTGTAATGCATCCAATTCATATAAATGTTTAGGTTGACTCAAATTTCCTTTGTGTTGGGGGGAGGGGGTGTAGTGTGTTTATGTAGGCTGTTGAGGCAAGGCAACAGCATCTTGTTTGAAATTAGAAAAAGACTCAAGGCAGAATGGTCAGAGAGCATGGTTACAAGCTACATAATCAGACCATATTTAGAAAATCATTAACATAGTTGTGTAATAAGCTACAGGGAAAGGAATGTGCATTACCCAGCTATGCATGGAATTTGCAACAATTAGAGACCATGTTGGCATTTTAGAAAGCAACCTTCTGAATGGAGGGATCATTTTTGTCTTAGGTTTGTTCTCCACTGCATGAGATTTCGGCCTCTTGTTCATGATGTAGTCCAGTTCGTATTTTGATATCTGGGAACTTCTATCAGGAGTACTTGATGTTGCAGATAACCAAACTAAAACCCAAAGAAATCCACACAGTCCAAATATCACAAATGGTCCAAATATACCACCTTGGGACATGAGAATTGGGGACAAAGTGAGTCCTATTGCATTTCCAAGCTGAAATCCAGCCATTGCCATTGCAACAGCCCTGGCACGTTCTGTTGGCGGAAACCATCTAAAACAAAAAGTATGCACAATGTTCAACAATTAGGATTCATCATATTGTTACAATGAAAATGAACTTGCTTGAAGGCACATGATTTATATCATCAATTTATGGTGATCATCATCAAACGGTAAAATAAGCAGAACATCAATACCTTGCCACCATGTTGTTCATGCATGGAAGAGCCACACCTTCTGCAACACCAAGCATAGCCCTTGCAAAAAGTAATGCCCACAAAGAGTTTTCAGCTGCCCATGGTGTAAGAAATGTAGCTAATGACCACAATGTCACTCCCCATGCCATTACTACCTTACCACCATAATAGTCCACTAATGTACCTCCTGCTATCGGTGAAATCAAGTATCCCCACAGAAAAGATGACTGCAACAAATTTTAACACTTAGTAACTTTTTAAACGTTATTACCCAAGTTTGATTATGTAATAAAAACCACTTGCCTAAAAGCTTATTTCTATAGACTAATTCGAAGAAAGTACAGCAACAAACAAGTCTCAATTTAAGGCTCGCTTTGGTTGTTACCTTTACTACCTGCACTCTGCTTCCTACAAAGTTGTTAAAAAGCAAAAGTACATGGTAGAAGAGAAAATAATAATTGATTTTAAATGTACTACAAATTCAAACAAAATTAGAATAAAGAAAAGAAAATAATGCGTTTAGTTCTCCCAAAAAAGGTTAAATTTTGACTACAACATTTATCTCATTCCTAATCAAAAACAATTCTTTTTTTCTCCAAATTCATACACTGACCAATTTCTTTAGCAAATTATAGTGCAATTTACTATCCTTTAAGTTTCAAAGCAACAATAATCGAATATTTCATCAAGAGAAGCAAAAGAAAAGCACTAAAAGAGCCACCTGAACAATGCCGGAAAACGAACGGCTCCAGCCATGAGCAAGCGACAACGGCACAATCGCCACTGACATCACGACTCTATCCGCATTACAGAGCGCCAGAGCTAAAGCCAGCATCGCCACCACTTTAACACGCTCGGACGTGATAAACTCAGCGAAACTCGACGACTCAGTCCCGCCTTTGTTCGGCAAAGAACCGAACTGAGCATCGTTGGATGAAACCCTAACTCGACGAGATAGAATCCTCCTTGACTCACCCGAGTCGTCTCGAAGCTGCTGGTGAGCTCTCAAACCGGTCCTCGAATTTACACTTCCAAAGCATTTAAGCTTTGAAGATTCAATTAAACAAGAAGTTAATTGAGGTTTAAATTGCTTAGCTTCGACAAATTTACGATTTTGAAAGCTCGCAAGAGAAAAACTGCGTATCGGTCGACTTAAACAGAGTGTAGAGTTCATCGTTGAAGTGGCCGCCGAGTGCTGACTCGTGAAGCCGTAGCCGCCTTGTTTATACTTTATATACGTTAATCTTACTAAATGACTCAATTACCCCTACCTTTCCCTTGAAGTGTACAAAGTAGTTTTTGGAAACTGTAGGGATAAATTTGGAAGTTTAGAAACTGCCTAATGCTCTTATGATCTTATCGTTAACAGAAATTAGATAAGGTGGGCTTCCCTCCGATCGTTTTATCATGCGACAGACTGAAACTATTCCTTGATCAGCGGATTTGGATAGTTTTATCAAGGTTCGGTTTTTCCCAAAAATGACTCGGAAACGATATCAAGAAACCCAAGCAGGTAAATTCCAATGTCAAGTTTGAACATATTTAGTAGTATTATTTTCTTTACATTGGTTGGCTTGAACCTGTTCGATCAAAAGGCTGAATGAAACCAGTTTTACCAAATTTTCAGGCTTCCAGTTGTTGAAATCGATAAATGCGGACAAGTATTTGAAGAAGATAGGATTAGGCAAAGAAGACTACCACTTTTGGAAGCAAGTTGGGAAGGCACTGCTGTGCACTTACACTCTCTTCGGCGTCGCGTGGCTTTACAACGAAACTTCCCCACTGGGGTGGTGGACGTTGAAGCCTAGGCCGAAGGAAGAGAGAGAGCTAGCCCATTTATATGAGCGGAGGGAGTTTCCTTATCCTGGTGACGCTGAGGCAATGGAAGAGTTTGTTGCTAAAGGAGGCATGATTGGAACTACCATTGGTCCTAAAGGGATCGTAGAAACGGATAAAGATTCCTTTAATTATCAGAAGGAGATGCAGAACAAGAAGTTTGAGCAGGAAGCATTAAAGCTGTGGCTCAGGATGAGGAATGAGGTTGTTGCAGAGCTTCAGGAGAAAGGGTATGATGTTGAGTGAGTGCTTCCTACTATAGCATTTAGTGAATCTGTGAGGGTTTCTGTATGCATTTCTATATATCTTGTTTGAATATTGAGTTTCGTGGACGATCTCAGTTATGTTTAATATCCATGTCTTGTTAACCCTTTTAAATGCTGCAACATTTCATCTCATTCTTGCTAGTTAAGCTAAGTGCAAGCAGCAACGTCCTCTGGTTTTTACTCATGCAAATAGAGCAGAGTCAAAATGGACATGAAGTGAAGGTGATTTGTGCTTTGCCTTGTCCACTTTTGCACTGGAATTTTTCCATTGGCATTATCCTTCATCTGGAATGAATTACCCTTCGGAAATTTCCAAGGTAAACAAAATTTCTGGCAAACAAAAGTTATCAGAATCCATGTGGACAGCTTGCACGTGGAATTATGGAACTTGAAAGATATAACAGATAAGTGGTGTTGCGATCGGATTTGTCGGTTGGTGAAAGTATATTTCATTGAATGGACGAATGATTATTGATCTTGGTATTTGGGAAGACCGTCGACTGGTCCTTTTCGGGAAGGAGGTCGTTATAGAGAGAAGGCACTTTTCTTATCTGCTATGTTCTTTTGTGGGACAAATAACAAGGTGAAAGTTGCCACTCAAGATTTTGGTTTTACATGTGAGAACTAGAATATGCAATGAGATGTTTCCTATGTCTAAAACAAGTCCACCCATTGACTAGATCCATCTTAAAAGATAAATGGGAACTTTACTATGCTGTGGCCAAATGAGAAAAAAAGGAGGTAGTGTTGGCTACGTAGGGGTGCATTGATGCTTGCACCATTCACGGTTATAACTGATATAAGTAGCAAGTTTCCAAACCAGCTGCAGAAAACATGGGCTTAAGCAAAACAACTTGTGACAATGAAATAGTAGAAAACACTGAATGAGTTGCTCTAATCAGTTTCCATAGATGGTAGACCTAAATGCATGAAAGGATGCCCTGCAGACGGATGAAATCCAGAATGCATAGCTTAGTACGTTTGAAAAAGTAGAAAACTTAGACTCGCATTTTAAGAGTATCAGGTAACTCATTAAGACGTGGCAATGATCAATGAATTCATTGATATTAAGTAATGTAGATTTTGGAGTAATTAAGGGAGCATCAGGTCAATTTCGTGAAAATGCTCAAGAAAGGCTTTCTTTGAGTCTTTGTCAAACATCTAGCTAAGCCATCACATCATGTTAAACATCCTAAGGCAACTCCGTTGTTTGCTACAGTTGAGTATGACAGCTCCACCAAAACATACCAGTTTCAGTAGAGATCCAATTGTCATGAAGAAGTCAAGGCAGTGTCTCACTCATTTTTCACTATACATGAAAGCAAAAGCAAAGTAGACTGAAAAGATGCATAACATCATCAACAATTGTCCTGCAGGGACTTTGATCAAAAAGGAAATTAACATGCAGAAGACAACAACAAAAAAAAACCTTAACGTCCTCGTAAGTAATCCTATCCTAGTTATCTATCTTCACAGCCTTGAATGTTCAAGCTGACAAGCAAATGGTAATTTTAACACATTCAGCTCATAGTCATTCGGATAACAAGTTTCACAAACATTTAACAATTCTACAAGAAAGGATCAAACAGGGAACCGACGAGTCCTTGCCATCACTGAAGAAAGGGGCAAAAAATGTGAACAAAGTGATTTCATTTCTTGTAGTAAATACTAAGCTACATTTCAGCAACAATTCTCACTATACTAACAATATGAAAACACTGTTTCATTTTTTGCATTGCTGCGTTATTAGAAAAACATATGCTTAGCACAAGAAAGATGACCATATGATCTGATGTTTTTTTTTATCTATAGAACATGGAGAGACACATTCATTCACGTTTTTACAACATAATATCTTACTCATAACAAATTCAAGCACCATTACAGTACGCTCCCACCTACAGAGTGTGGGTTTTTTAGCCTACTCATTCCAGATTTGCTTCTCCGATAGCTCCTCATCGGCGTCAAGTAAAATCGCAATAGCCCATTATCATGGTTGTTAGGAGAATACCTGACACTCCTATTCTGCTGCAGCACAAATTTCTCCCTTCTCTTCTCACCATCATCTTTAGACGGGGTCACACTCATTCCATAGAAAGCTGATCCATCCACGGAATTCCTAGCACTAACACTATAGCTCCGCATAAGCTTCTGGCTTACAACACTCCCATTTGCGTCTCCATTCGCCACCCTTCTTAACTTCTGCAAAGACTCCGCTAGTGTCCCGTCAGCCACAATTCTCTATACCTTTACCTTCATCTCCATGAGCCAACCCCCTCAGCTTTTGCAATGACTCCGCCAGTGTCCCTTCACCTCCATTTCCTCCAATACCTCTATCTTCATCTCCATTAGCCACCCTCCTAACGTTTGCAACGACTCTGCTAGCCTCCTATCACCCACATCCCCTCCAATACTCCTTTCTTCATCTTCAAATTCACTCTGTTTTCGCCTCTGTATCAAACCCCAGATGTTCCAAATATTTTTCCACTTCCTTGCCTTCTTCAAATCAAACCCTTTTTGGCCAACCCCAGCAGTAACAAACTCAACATCCTTCGAACCAGATTCCACACTCGAATACCAATTGGAATCCCTCAGTTCCTTCTCGGTAACTAACAGTTTCGCCCCGTGAAACAACCCAACAGTCTCAGGAGACACTTTAGCATTCGAAATCGAAGATTTAACTTCATCAGCTTCCCCCAAACTAATCTTCCTATTCGACCCTGACCGGTCGAAACTTCTCCTCCTTCTAGTCAAAGAATCCGCATAATAATCTCTCGTTTGAGCTGACCCACCAGGGCTACTCCTTTCTTCCTCTTTTACAACACTCAATCTCTCTTCCCCAACATTCCCTTCTTCATTAACCTTGGGATTCTGTTTCCCAATCAAATAACCATCCCAAGAAACCCTTGGCTCATCAAAAGAAAACCTTGAATCATCGACAGACAAACGGCCAATATCAACCGACAATCTAGGATCAGTATCACAAGATCTTCTCCCAAACAACCCATATTCCCCGATCTCCGATTGAGTGTCTCTCAATCCCCTTTTATTCACCTTATCAAGAACCAAACCCTCAATTTTCTCCTTCTTTTTGCCCTGTTTTTTCCTCCATTCCCTCAATTTCTTGCTAAAGACCGAAGCTGCTTCCCACAAAGATTTCCCTGAAGTTTTTTTTCTTCCCCATTCGAGATCTATGAATTCTTTCACCGTTTTCAACTCTCCTTCTTCTTCTTCTTCTTCTTCTTCAAAGCCTTGAAAAGCTTCAACTTTTGAAGGAGGGTGGTTGGGATTGAGAGTTTTTATTTTGTCATCTATGGCGAAAAGGTCGTGGAGGGTATTGTGAGCCTTACGTCACAAGATTTACGGCGGGGCTCGGAGGTGGCGGAGGAAGAGGATGGGTTAGGGCCACCGGAGCAGGACTTGGAGCGGCGGAACTGGGAGGTTGAGGAAAGTAGGGGGTCGTGGCGGTAGGGAGTTGTTTTGGATGCCGGCAAGGCGTTCTCGTAGACATGCTGCGCAGAAAGCCGGTGATGGGTGTGGTGGTGGGTGGCGGTTGCAGGTTGAGAGACGCTGTCTGTGGTGGTGGTGGGCTGGAGAGTCATGGCTTGAGAAGAGGCAATGAGCTCATGCTCAGAGAAAAAAAAAGAAAAAAAGAGAGAGACAGAATGTACTACACTGAAGATTAATGCGTTTGGGAGAGAGAACTAAGATTTGGAAGAGAAGCTAAATAGAAATGGGAAAACGGAAAACCCTGGATAAACCCTTTCTATTTTGGGTTTTATTATCCAATACTCTCTCTAAAATTGGGTTAATTTCTTCTTTTTCTTTTATATATATTTTCTTATTTTTCTTTTCTTCCAAACGATGATATTTGCCATCTTATACACACAAAATCAATAATGGGGCTTGAAAATATTGGTTCTAATCTAACGATATGACAACAATTTGTTTTTTGTACACTAATGTTATATGCAAAATAAATGGTATTCATCACATACATCATTTCTTTTAATTGATTTTCTTGGTGTGGGGACAAAATAATACATCTTCAAAACATATAAAAAAAAATAAAATAAAACATATTATTAAATCCCATTTCATACATCTACCCAAACTCACATTAAGCATAAATAATCTCTTTTTCTTTTCTTTTTCATTGAAAAAAACTCCAGTCTTTCGTTTTTAGGATATGCTTAAATGAAATATTTTTTTTCTTTTTTAGAATCTAATATTACAAATTTATTTTCATAATTTTTTATTTTTTCATATTAAAGAGCATTGAATAATTATATTATAATTTTTTTAATTTTAATACAAAATACATCAAAATCAAAATTTTTATTTTAATTTTCGTAAAAATTAAAAAGAGATAAAGAAAAACAAACTCTAGAGAGTAATTAATAGTATTCTATTATGTATTAAGACTCTGATTTCAAAACTTCTTTGTTGCTTTTTTTTTTTTTTTGACCAAAATCTAAGTTCAAGGGAGGAACATTTGGGAGATTTGTTCTCTACTTAGGACTCTTTGAGAATAGAGTCCAAAAACTGCTTTGGATTTTGGTGTAATTTTTAAATGGGAAATACCCATAAGCCCAAAGATGCTTCCAACTGCTATTTCTCGGTGTCTCTTAAATTATGGAAGTCAACTCTTCCAAGGCGGATCATTAGCATAGAAATCCACACACTTTGTTTTCATTCCATAAAGTGTGTTTTTAACAATCGAGGTTAAGTTTTTTTTTTTTTTTGAGAGACAATAATAACCTTTTTATTACTATAAAAGATTTTGTTTAACAAAAACCTTCACACAAATGTATATAGTGTTATTCATGATATAGTTAAAGCAATAATATTTGGAAAAATTATAATTTATTTATGAAAATTTAAATAATTTTACATTTTTTGTTACATTCAATCAATTTTTTATATTTTTCGTTTGAGCCAAATGAGTTATTACAATTAATTTTAAATTAATTATTTATTAATTAAAATATTATTTATTATTTTATATTATGTAAATGTTAACATGTTACGATGAATTGTGACATGACATGCTTAATAAGATCACATGATATTTTTATCTTTCTTGTCATGTCTATGTTAATATCACATCAACCTCATATGTTAATAAATAAAAAATAATATATGATATTTTGATTAATGATAATTAATTAATTATTAATTATAAAAATATATTTAATTTAAAATAAAAATATAAAAACTCGGTTGCACTAGATAGAAAAATAAAAATTATTTTAATTTTTTAAAATAAATATGTAAAAAAACTTAAAATTAGAATGTAATTGTCACCCATCAATTGAACAAAATCAAAACTTAATCGTAAGAATTTAAAATTCTTAAGATTAGAGTTTTGGGAAGAATGGATGTACTTGTCCCTCAAATTAGACAAGGCCAATCATGGGCTGAAGACTAGCCGAACCCAGTCACGGCCAGTAAGGTCCTTTGTAGTCTTTTAAAAGTAATTGGGCTGAACAGGCTTTAGCCCACCAACAAGCCTAGAATGAAAAGACCGGGCTGAAACGGAGTCCAAGACCGATCCTCCTGACTGGCATGTCCAGGTCCAATCCAACTCAACCTGATTGAATTACTGGTAACTGGCAACATTATTTAACCACCTTCTCCCTCAATTTACCCATCTTCTCTCTCAGTTTTCACAACCTCAGGCAGAGAGCCAAGAAAATCTAACATGGAAAAAGTCAAAGAATTCCTGGAACTAGACAAAGAAGGAGCAGAGTGCGTGTCGCGACTCACTATCCCCCCCCACCGAGTCGGCTCCGAGTGCAGCTTCTACGAAGATTTCGCCTTACGCGGCATCCGAGTGGATAGGGTTGAGTCTGGCTTCGTTTCCTGTAGTTTCAAAGTCCCTCCTCGGCTCACCGTAAGCTACCCAAAAACCCCCCAATCTCAAATTCCATAGAATCAGAATTCACTATGTGCGATGATTTTGGTTGAGTTTTCTTTTGGAAATAAATTGACTTTGCCAGGATAGAAGTGGAAATTTAGCAACTGGTGCTATTGCGAATCTCGTTGATGAAGTTGGTGGGGCTGTTGTCCATATCGAAGGTCTCCCCATGAATGTTTCGGTGGACATGTCCATCTCTTTTCTCGGAACTGCTAAGCTCAATGTAAGTTAGCTTTCTTATGAGTTCGCTTTAAGAATATCTTTGTACTTTAATGTAGTGAGTTGCAGCAGCGGAGCTAATCAATTTTGTTAAGATTGAGGGTCATTGACGAAGAGAGATAAGGTTTAAATATTTTTAAATTTATAATAAATAATAATTTTATATAAGATTAAAATAATAAATAAAAATAAGAACATGAAATGTTTATAATAATTTTTAAAAAAGTTATGCTGAGGATGTTTTTCAAATTAAAATTGATCGACTTTTGATTCTATATTAAAAGGATTAGTAATACCTTTTTTAATATAAATAATTAAATTATTTGTAAAAAATTTATCATTCATTTTGTTCTGAAATTTTCTTATCATTCATTTTGTTTTGGAGTTTTGTTTTCATAATTTTTATTGTTAAAAAGGCTCTCTTTATAATTGTTGTAGAAAGGAAATATTTAAAACAAGACAAATTAACCTATTAATCAAGATTAATAAAAAATAATACATTGATAAAATTTTAAGTAAGACACTAACAATACAACACTACAATTTATATTTGAGAGTTACATAATAATTTTTAATTTTTAAAGGTTAAAATTATAAAAAATAAAATTTACATGATAGAAAAAAGAAAACCTTAATTACAAATAGAAGATAGAACTTATATAACAAAAGAGAAAGACGAAGAACACAATTGATGGTTCGTAAAAGTTTGAAGAAGAAAATTTGTAAAAACTTATAACATATTAGAAAGTATAATAAAAATGAAATAAATAATAATATAAATAGAAAGAAAATGACTTCTTTTTAATTTCACAATGGTGGTGAGTGGTCCTGTCCTCCTTTGTTACAACTGTCAAACTTATAGATGTTTGTTGAAGAATGAGGTGTGTTTTAGTGTGGAAAAACTTAAGATAAAGTTGAGTGGGGCTTATGAGGTCATTTTGTTATTCTTTATTTATATTAGCATTCAAGCATTTTGCTCATTAATTGTTACATGATCCATACTTAAAGAGTAGATTTTGAATCCCCTTCCCTCAATTATATAGTTAGAAAAAAATCTTTATTTATATTATATTTTGAAAAAGGCATTAAAAGAAAAAATATGTATTAAATAAAACGTTTAAAAAATTTTAGGGGGTTATGCTACCCCTTTTAGTTGCTTTGAATTTAGTAATAAATAAAAAATTTAAAAAATTTTAGGGGGTTATGCTACCCCTTCGGGTTGCTTTGAATTTAGTACTAGTAATGTTCATTAATGCATTGAATGTTTTCGTTAATGCTTTGTTATTCAGTTTGATCATGGATTTAAGTTTATTGGGTTATGCACTATCTGCATAGGGAGTGATTGAAAGGTATTTTTGTTTAAAGTTGTAACAAGGATGTGAGATAGAATCTTGCCCTTTTTGGAGGATTTGGATATCTAGAGGTAGAAGAGGATCTATCGCGTGGCTTCTTCTGTGAAGCCAAAAGGAGAAATGTCAGTATATTTCCTATAATCCCACTGATTTTTAATATCATTCCAAGATTATGATCCATGGCAGACAGAATGAAGGGCAGGCCATTGTTTCTTCTTTGATCTTTCAGATTAGTTTCTCGCTGGTAGAGAATCTGGTTATACCTCTTTTAATATGATTCTGATCTCTAAGAGGCAATTTGCAGGATGAGTTAGAGATTACATCAAAGGTTCTAGGCCGAAGAGGAGGTTATGCAGGGACAATTGTGCTTGTCAGAAACAAAGAAACTGGGGAGTTAATTGCTGAAGGCCGGCATTCATTGTTTGGTAAACAAGCTAGCAAACTCTAGTTCCATTCCAAGTTTTTATAAGAAAATCCTTTTACGACACTGGTGGATGTTGTACTAAGTACTACCATTTAGTGAACTGCTTCTTGTAAGTATTTTTATGTGATTTATGACCTAATGAAGATTCCGTATTGCGGCGAATATACAAGTTTCTAAACCTTCTGCCATAATTTTTCTTTCATTATTGCCCAACTGTTTGTGGTACTTCAAAGTATTGAGGGGACTTTGGCACGTAAAACACGGGAAAACTGAACTTATATTGCCATTATGGTCTTGAAGAACAATAGTAGATTCATATAACTTAATATCATTGCAAATGCCAAAAGGGTCAATGGTAAGTCAAACACCCTCCAGTTGCATTCCAATTTCCCTTTGTGACGAGACACGAGTCATGATATTCTGTCAGCTATCTTTCTGAACCTGTTTCATTGTTCATTAAATCGTTTAGAAACATGGACACGAGGAAGCCTTTTAACTGTATGCATAAGAAGGGGTAGGGAGTGGACTGGTACACACAATTTAAGCAGATGGAAAGTAATATACAAGGCACCAAATCAACGAAGAGTCCCCAGTGGCCTTTTATACGTGTACCATTTTGCAATCAAGAGAAATGCCCCTAAATTTAGCACACTCAGCACTGCCAAGAGCCAGAAGAAGTAATGAACATGGCCATAATTTAAGTTGTCTGGTATCCACCCGTGCTTTCCCTTCCTAGTGGTTATACTTGTAACAATAGTTGTCAGCAGGGAGCTTAAGTAGTTACCAAGCGCAATGGTAGTGAGTTGTAGTGCCGAGCAGAAACTCCTCATGGCATCAGGTGCTTGCTCATAGAAAAACTCCAGCTGTCCAATGAGTGTGAAAACCTCTGCACACCCTATGAGGACATATTGTGGAACTTGCCAAAATATTGTCATGGGCATTTCCTTAAGCTCGTAGTACTTGTGCCTTCTCACTCTTCGGAGTCTTTCTAGTTCCAGAATCGCTGCAGCTACCATGGCAAATATTGATATGAAGAGGCCAATGCCTATCCGCTGAAGTTGAGTTAGGCCATTTTTTTGACCGGTAAATTTTCTTGTCACTGGGACAATGATTCTGTCATAGATTGGAACCCAAAAGATAATGCTGAGGGTGTCAAAGATGGAAAGCGATGCTGGTGGGATCTTGAAGGCAGAATTGCCGACGTGAGTATTCATTCTTTCACCTTGCAACACAAATAAATTGCTCATCTGACTGTACACAGCAGCAAAGATGATTCCAGTGGCCCATATGGGGAGCAAGCGAATGATAGCTTTTAGCTCCTCAACTTGAGTAACTGTGCAAAGTCTCCATGGGTTTACTGAACCCTTTATGTGGTCTGATTCAGTTTCCACAGCCGCTTTGTCAAAGAAACTGAAGATCAGAACAGCTGCCTTAGAGCTCGAACATGGAATCAAGAGACAGGAAAGTATATCTACCTACATGCACCAAGCAACGTGAAAATCTGAAGTTTAAATTAAGTAGAATACTGAGAGGAAGTTTGAAAATTGAATCACATGAACATCGATGATCATACTTGTTATCAGTAATGCAAACTAAATTGTGCCCTAACAGCTTTGAGGGAAACATCAAGAAATGTTCATAGGTTCACCAGCTATTCCGGATTGTAGATAATACTTCTGGAATAACTTGTTCAGACGTCATCCAAGAATTAAAAAGCTTTCAATGAAAAATGAATAAATTTTTTGCAATTTTTACATGTCACTGTAATTCAGTTGCTAGTCTAAGATTGGCGTTCTGGCACTAACCTAAGATCTTGTGTGTGCTCAATCTTCCGGCTTCCTCTGATATTGGATTCTGCATCTGCAGTCTCGTACAGAAGAGACTTATCAGCAGGTACCACCAATCGAAATTTCCTGAAGGATGCCACCAGCACCTGACAGAGGCGTGTGAGAGGGCTGCCTCCAGGCTTTTGGTTCCGGTACAAACGAGTACCTGAAAAGAAAAATGTAACAGCTACTGCCATAGCGATGGCAGGAATTCCAAAACCCCATCCCCAACTCACATTATCCTGTACCCAGACCAGCACAGAAGAAGCAATAAGAGCACCGATATTTATGGAAAAGTAAAACCAATTGAAGAAAGAGCTCTTGTGCTTCTTCTCAGCTTCATCGGTGTCATCGAACTGATCTGCTCCATACGATGAGACACAAGGCTTAATTCCTCCTGTTCCCAGTGCAACCATGTAAAGAGCTACAAAGAACACTGCACTTTGCGTAACTGTTGGGTTGCAGTTATCTTCTGCGTAACACCTTGGCCTGATGCCATGTACGGTTGCAGACAATGCCAGAAGTGTCATTCCCTGTGTGAAAAATACAGATTCCATGAAAAGTTCAAATCTCATGTCAAAACTTTTTAGTGAGTTTGGTACCGGAGAAAATTGGTACTACTAGACTAGGATGATCCAGAGTACCATTTTTTTTCTTCAATTCTTCCATTAATAAGCATAGGCCTCAATATTTAACTGATAAACTTTAATCCTTAATATATAAATATAAACTTTATTCTGTTCTACAAGAGTTCTGCAGTACAATTATAAGACTATCTCCTTTTGAGACTAGAACTTACAAAGACATAAATAGTTGAGAAAAGGGCAATGGTCCAATATCTTCCCAGGTAAGCATCAGCCAGAAATGCTCCGATCAATGGTGTGATGTAGCACGTTCCACTCCAGTTCTGGTTATTTCTAGTAGCAACAGAACTATGTTGATTGAGTCGATGCTTAAAGTAGCGCACCAGATTGCTGCTCATCCCATAGTAGGCCAATCTTTCACAACATTCATTTCCTGTTGATTAATGCTAAACAGATAAGCGTCCATCTTTGACTAACCATTAATAAATTTAACTGGTTGATTTTATGATTACCAATAATAAAGGGACAGGCTTTCCAGGTTCCAGTTTTCTTTTTATTGGCAGGGTTTCCCTGGTAATCCACTGTCCCATCTTTTGTATAGAAATCATCTTCAGCCATGACTTTCCAGAAATTTATCTTAGCCTACTTTTTCTTGGTCCAAGAAATCACTCAAAAGCAGAAGGGCAGAGAACTTGAAGATGTAACCTATATTCACTGGAAAAAGAATCATAGCTGCACTTAGCAACAAATTGCAGAGAAGTAAGCATACAGAAAGTCAATTGCCAATTTTCAGTTCCTGTACCGCATGGCCACTTATATCAATTCAAGAACAGAATCAAGAAGCTTAAACCAATCGTATCCATTTAACTCTTTGAACATACATAAATGAAGTTAATTAGCACTGTCTAAATACCTTGATATGAAAAAGCTGGTTTCTAAAACTAGTTAAGAAGAGAAGAAAAAGTTCAAACACAACACACCAAGTTAAAATAGAATCAAAGTTACAGGATAACAAACCTGATGCCCCTAAGCATTATGCAATAGCATCCTGAAAAAATGGGTATGCCTCAAGAATCCAGGAGTAGTAGAATTACCACTAGAATAATAGGATAGGAACGCTTGAATCAGGATATCACTCAATCATCATCAAGTTGCGACCACTTAAAGTGGATACAGCTAGAGTTTATCCTCTCGAAGTCAACTTTCTGTGTATAAACATTTCAAAAGGATAGGAAGGAAGCACGACTTGAATAGTTGAATTCTTTGACTAGTTTGTGTCGATAATGGTGAGAGGGTTAGAGGTGTTATTGTACAGTAATGCAGAGACGGGGGAGACCGGGGAGTTTTTGTTGGGACAGAGATATTTTTGTCTGATCATTCAGTGTAATGATACCATACTTCTTTATGAGCTTCAAGATTCCTATTGTTTGGGTATAAAATTTTCTTGGTTTGACACTTGGCCCCAAGAGTTTTTAAGTGCCGAAAAAGGCAAACGACGAAAGGGCATTATAGCATCGTCAATCTAGAATTGCAGAGAAATGGGTCCTTATCTTATGAGACAACTTTGAGTGGCTTTAGCTTATAATGTAATGGCCTGAGGCTAGCCCAAGGCAAAACTTGGACCCACCTAATACTAAAATCTGGAGAAAGAGGTAATAAAGTGATTTTTGCTTCCATTTTCATAATGTATACTCTTCAACTTTTTCACCCATTATTTTGAAACATTGACATGAAGCGACCATATTTCATACATAACAAGGGGAAACTTTCCTTAATTCTTCGTAACCAGCGAGTGAATCATTTACAGTTGCTTTGAACAAGCCACCATAGAAATAATCAACGAAGAGTTCCCACTGCCCTTTTGTAGGTGTACCAATTCGCAATCCAGACAAAAACACCTAAATTTAGCACACTCAGTGCTGCCAAGAGCCAGAAGAAGTAATCAACGTGACCATAGTTTAGGTTGTCTGGTATCCATCCGGGCTTCCCATTCTTAGCGGTCACACTAGTAACAATAGTCACAAGCAGAGAGCTCAAGTAGCTACCGAGAGCGACGGTGGTGAGTGCTAGAGCAGAGCAGAAACTCCTCATTGCATCAGGTGCTTGTTCATAGAAAAACTCCAACTGTCCAATGAATGTGAAAACCTCTGCGCACCCAATGAGGAAGTACTGTGGCACTTGCCAGAATATTGTCATAGGCATTTCCTTTAGCTCATAGTAGTTGTGCCTTCTGATCATTTTCAGTCTTTCGCGCTCCAGAAATGCAGCAGCTACCATGGGAAATATTGATATGAAGAGGCCGATGCCCATCCGCTGAAGTTGAGTTAGGCCATTCTTGTGACCAGTGAATCTTCTTGTCGCTGGGAGAATGATTCTGTCATAGATTGGCACCCAAAATATCACACTGAGGGTGTCGAAGATGGAAAGCGATGCTGGTGGGATCCTGAAGTTAGAGTGGCCGACGCGAGTATCCATTTTTTCACCTTGCAACACAAATAAGTTGCCCATCTGACCGTAAACGGTGGAAAAGATGATCCCAGAGGCCCATATTGGGAGCAAACGAATTATAGCTTTCAGCTCCTCAACTTGTGTCACTGTGCAAAGTCTCCACGGGTTTGAGCCCTTTATGTGGTCTGTTTCAGTTTCCACTGCCGCTTTGTCAAAGAAACTGAAGATTATAGCCATGGTTAAAGGTAAGGAACTAAAGCAACAGTTCAAGCATCTAACCAAGATAAAATTTGCGATATATGTGTACTACCTAGATATATCAAGTCTGAATTGCAGAATTAGAATATCAAAGGAGAGTTTGGAAATTGAACCACAAGGAGTTTTAATAATTTTTTAATCCTCATCAAGTTACTAGTTACAAGTTTGTTTTTCTATCTTATCACAACAAATGGCTTCAGGAAAAATCCGAACGTGTTCATAGCTTAACTAGCTTGTCGTATATTGAGTTCTTCAAGCATCAACAACCAATGATTTAATCTATGGCAACTGGATTCTTATTTAAAATTCAAACAATCTAATGGATTATTTCTTCGCTACCATATTTCACCTAATTGATAGGTGAACAAATTTTTCTCCAATTGGCTCTAATCAATTTCTAAATTTAAGATTGAAGTCCAGGCGCTGACCTGAGATCTGTTGTGTGGTCAATCTTGCGGCTTCCTTTGATATTGGACTCTGCATCTGCCGTCTCATACAAAATAGACTTATCAGCAGGTACTGCAACCTTATATTTCCTGATGGATGCCACCACCACCTGACAGAGGCGTGTGAGAGGGCTACCTCCAGGCTTTTGGTATCGATACAAACGAGTACCTGAAAAGAAAAAGCAGACAGCTATTGCCATGGCGATAGCTGGGATGCCAAAGCCCCATCCCCAGCTCACATTATCTTGTACCCACACCAGCACAGAAGCAGCGATAAGAGCACCAACGTTTATGGACAAATAGAACCAATTGAAGAAAGAACTCTTGTGTTTCTTCTCTTTTTCGTCCGTGTCATCAAACTGATCAGCTCCGTATGATGAAACACAAGGCTTAATTCCTCCTGTTCCTAGTGCTATCAGGTAAAGTGCTAGAAAGGCCATAGCGCTCTGTGTGTCTGTTGGATCGCAGCTATCTTTTGTATAACATCTTGGCCTTATGCCACGGACTGATGCAGACAATGCTAAAAGTGTCATTCCCTGTGTAAAATGTTAAAAGTAAATATTTTTGTCTCAATTACCAAGGAACAGATTTCACAGAAAATGTTGCTTCAAAAACTTAGGTCAATTTTTTGAAGGACTTGGTGATACTCTACTAAACCAATCAAAGAATGGGGCACTAGTCTATAAATTGGAGAAAATAAAAATTCCGGGTTCTGTTTTCCTTCTTCTTGATATGGTATAATGTTTAACTTCAGCAACTCCAGTTTGTTATGATGTAATTCTGGTGGTACAAATTACTGTATCAGATCAATTATAAGTGTTACAATAAGTATCAGATGAGTAAAACTTACAAAAATATAGATGATTGAGAAACAGGCAATTGTCCAATATCTTCCTAGATACGCATCAGCCAGAAATGCTCCAATTAATGGTGTGATGTAGCATGTTCCACCCCAGTTCAGGTTATTTTTAGTGGCAACTGCACTATGCTGATTCAGCCGATGCTTGAAATAAAGCACCAGATTGGTGCTCATCCCATAGTATGCCAATCTTTCACACCCTTCATTTCCTGTCGATAAATGCTCAAGTAAGCATCCAATCTCTATCTTTAATTACTAATTTCAATTACCATCTTTTGTGGTTACCTATGATAAATGGACAAGCTCTCCAGGTTCCTGTTTCCTTCTTGTTAGCAGGATTTCCCTTGTAATCCACTGTCCCATCTTTCGTGTAGATATCATCTTTTTCCATTGCTTTCCAGAAATTTATCTAAGTCTGCTTACATGTGGTTTTAGAATAGACTCAGTAACGGAAAGACTCAGAACTTGAGAACGAAACCTATATTATCAAAGAAAAAAGAATTATAGCTGCACTTAGCTACAAACTCCAGAGAAGTCTGCATAACAGAGACACAGATGCAAAAATTTCAGCTCTTATATCACAGGGCTAGCTAATAAATACATACCTACTCTTTACCAAAAGCAAAAGAAAGAACAAATGCATACCTAATGGTATTTTGTAAAAGAATATTTTTGCCAAAGCACAATGATTGAGATGATATACCAAGAAGCCTAAACAAATACAATCAATTTAGCCTCATATCTGTGAATGAACAACAGAGTGAGTCTATCAACACCTTGACAGAGAAATCAAGATTCTAAAACTTATAATTCTATAAAAAAGAAGATAAAACTCATTCACACACCAAGTTTCACATCACCATAGAACAGACATGCAATTGCTTCCAGAAAAGCTGTGTGCCTTCTGATTTCAGGGGTAGTAGAATTTGCGCTAGCACTCGAATTGAATAGTAAAACTTGGGATCAAGATATTGCTCAGCTCTCATGGGGATGTGGTCACAGCTACTGGGCCCGACTATAGTCTACCCTTTCTAAGTCTACTTTAGAATGCCAAACTTCTGCATAAAGATCCAAAGGATGACTTTGAGTTGCATTGAATCTTTGACTTGCTTGCAGTAACGATAAGAAGGATGGGGCTGTTGGAATGTGACAGATTCTAACAAGGAACATAACACACTCCACACAAAGAAATACATTCCCAAACAGCTAATATCCTGGCTCCAGGTATTTACCGACGGTTTTGGAAGTAAAACAGCACTCTAGTCGACTCTTTCCCTTTCACTTGGGAAACAGATTCACAGCAAAATGGTCCATCTGATGCGACAAATTTCAATAGTTTTGAGTCTTATTTGCCAGCTAAAACTTAGAGCCTGGCCAGTCATGACACTTCTTCCTACAATAGATAAACAAATTAAGCACGTGAAATAACTAAACACGGGCGATTCTGCTCAGTTGAATTTTCCAGCCTGAAGAGAAATAACAAGAATAGACATGCATCCTCAGTACCATTGAACAGTTCTCAAACAAAGTTAATGGGATAAATGAAAAAAAAAAAAAAAAGAAGTTGGTTTTTCTCCTTACCTTGGGTTGCAAGCAACCTGGAACAAATGGTTCTTTCCGGTCCAGTCCTGAGAAATAAATGAGGCTTTCGGCGAATCTTTCTTCTAAGGCGGAAACACTGGAGGAGATCGTTGAGTTCAAGGAATTCTCTTCAATCCTGACTCCCTCTATATACCCTTCCAATGCCCCCCAGCTGAACTTTAGCAGTACGTAGCTGCTTTTTCCACTATAATTTATTACACATTGATTAAAATTCTGTTTCTATATCAAATAAGTTTTCACTCTTCACATCTTGGTGACGTCCGAAATATTTTTAATATAATTAAATAAATTATTGTTAATTTCTTTTTCTCTATACGACAAAAATATATATAAATTTCATGATAATAAAAATAATAAAATGATAAATAACCAATGAAAATAATTGCATATATTTCATGAGACGATAAAAATAAAAAAATATTTTTTGGTTTTGGGATCATGTGGGAGAAGATTGATTGCACGAATCATTAGTCCAATGTGGAACGAATTTGGACTGACTTCCCGAACAAATATTAGTGAGAACAAAATAACAGTCCCAACTCCCAAGCCAATGCTTTGAATTTCTGTCCAAGATGACTTGCTAGCTTGATACAACTCTCTGTCTACGAAACCAATTCATTTGTATTTTTATCAAAGATGCGAAAGCAGCATACCCTAGACACACACACACATTGGGCATATACATAATAGCCCGTTCACACAGGCAATGCCGTAATAGAGTAAAACGGCTTATATTTGTATATATGCATGGGACATAGATAACATTCAGGTCTTGTTCACTTATTATTCGTACCTCTTTTTAATATTTCAAACTCTATGGTAATTGTCTTGTAACGTTTTGTCTAGCTAGGCCAGTCCTTTTCGACATAGCTTGTAAACTCAAACTTTGATTTTAAAATAAAAAAACCCATATTAATTTCACTTTATCCACTTTGTTTTCGGCCCCATTGAGATTATAAGATTAAACTAGAAAGAGGTTCGGTGCTCTCAAATGGGCCTTCTCGAGTAGCCTGGCTCAGATTAAGTACTGGACCAAGACCTTTTCCAAAAGCCTTTTGCAATCAAAAGTTTTGCCAGACGAAGTTTGCTCCATTATTGGACGGATCCATTCTCATTTCTTTATCAACCAACACCCAAAGGGGTGAAAAATGAAGAGAGATACGATGTTTATATCATGCAGGTCTCCTTACTAGCAATAAAAACTATATATATATATATATATATATATATATATATACTTGAGATTTAAGTACCAATTTGATTGGTGATATAATGCACATCCAATAGTTGAATTTGTGCATGACCCCTCCCTCCATTGTTAATTGCTTTGAGTCCTTGTTTGATTGAGAAGAGGTAACACCTGAACTAATTATTCAATTAGAACCTTCTCTTAGTTCGATCAGTAGAATAATAGTCAATAAAGAAAAGACAGAGTTTTTCTACTATGATCTTGAATGTCTAACAAAACAATATAATATTTGAACTTAATCGAAGGGCTTTCTCCACATCTTCAAATTGGGATTGGTAACATCTACATTTTTCCATGACATTGCTTGTTGATGTGGGAAAACATTAAAAAGAAAGGAAACACATAATTATCATATTCTCTCCTATTTATTTATTTAATATATATAAGCAATAAATAAATATAATTAGCTTAGTAAAGAGAACAATATAGAATTCTGTTAGTGGAATATTTTTAAGGAAACAAAGGTTAGATGAGCTGTTACTTACCCCTTACAAAAGGCTTTATCTTTCAGAAAACAAACCCCGCTCTCTGTGTATATCCATGAAAGGCATTCCTCAACTAAAAATATTTTGTTGGCTTAACCATTTTTTTTTTTTTTTGTATCTGTCATCTACCCACCATTTCCACTTACTTTCCTTCTCGAAGGTTTTCATCAGATTCATGGAAAATAACCCAGGTTCATCGGTGAAGTGACAATTATCCAATTTTCAACATTATTAATTAATATTGTAAATATATTTAGAGAATATTTTTAGTTATTGAGGTGACTCCTGCCCCTAGTCCAAATTCCCTCTTGCTTCCAACTTAGTTTAATGCATGCTTTTGCAGTGCTAAACAGATATGATGATAATATTTGTCTTCTTCTACTTTTTTTTTTTGCAGTGTTAATTTAATTTGAGTACACCTAACCCGTATTAATTTATGTTATCTACTTCATAATTTGATCACTGTCTTTCACCTTAAAATTCTTACTGTATCACCAAATAATTTAATAAGATGTTAGCCTTTTAATTAATAACTTGTCAATGATATGCAAACTTTCTCCTAAACCCCCTAGGACCTAAGTGATACTTTACAATTCTCAAGCATGAAAAATAGAATCCTTGATTTCATTTATTATATATAAAGGCAATAAGTCACAAAAATTTGCAAAGTTGTCCTTTTAGAGTAAACTTTTGCCAAGATTATTTTTATTTTTTGAATTACGTAGCATCATTGCTAGGAAAAACACACACACAAAGTGGGGGAAAAAAAAACAATAGGAACTCCAATGATATCTCAGTTTTGTGGCAGTAAGATTCGTATCCCACATCATAATTAATAAAAGTTTCTCATTATAATCAACTGGTGGTAATGACTCGATGATAGCTAATCCTACTACTATATTTAGGTAGATCTCTGTTATACTATAATCTGCCAATGAAATGCTTGAACCTAACCTTAATTGCAAATTAAATTACTAATGCCCCCAAAAAGGGTGAAAAGAACTAAGTGGTTTCGGTTTTGCTTGTTGCTCATGTCATCTGCTTGACCTCAATGGGGTTGGAAATCTATCAACATTCTGGTTGAGATCGGGTGTACTTTACCCAATACGGTTGGACCAACCATGGCTGACCACCTAGTCAATTGAAAAATGGCATCAGGAGCTCAACTAGCTTAGCTTCAAAATGTAGACTTAGTTTGATAGATAACTACTTTGTGTGATACACAAGAAATATCAGACACTTTTCTGCATATCTCTCTGATTTTATACATTGCCCCTTGCCTCTCAAGTATTCTTCCCGTCACCTACCTAAGTAAAAACGACTTGGCAGCAGAGAGCTTTTGCCTCTTTATAAGTTTGAGTTGGTCCGATACCCGAGCACACCAAGAAAGAGCCAAAAAAGAAAAGGAATATACAATTTGGGTTTGGCATAGAGTACTGAGAGCTAGAGACAATGGAGATGGCACCATGGATTAGAGTCCTAATGTTTTTAGCTTGCTTGTTGTTTCCAGCGTCAGTAGAGTGCATGGTTCGGCACTACAAGTTCAATGTAAGTTACACTTTGCTCAATGCTAGTGCCCTTTTGAATTAATGCAGGAAAAGAGCGGTCTCTGTTAGCTCTCCTCCATCATTCATTTCCCATAGTACAGTTCCTAGCTAGTCATTGACATGGGGATAGGCTGCTCTTGGAGGGTTGCTATGTATGTCGAGGCTTGCATGAATACAGTTAAAACTGCCCCCTAAAAAAATACAGTTAAAACTAAGAGGTGCATCATTCTAAACCAAGAATGTACCAGTTATTACCTTTTCTTTATTCTTTATGTATGTAAAAAAAGCTTACTAAAGGTCATTCAAACTTAAACCTTGAATCGTTATTCAAATCCTTGCATTACCACTTGAGTCAAGCTTAAATTCCTCGCCTCTGCTTGGTAAGGGTTATGAAGCATATGGTTTAGACCTGGCAAGCATAAGCATTGGTTTTATGATAACTATGAGATTGCAACTTTTTCAGTGCAACATTTTCAGGCTTTCAGAATTAATGATAATACAGGAATATTGCTTCTTCAAGTATATCTGATATTTTTGTCCCTCATAAATTAACTTTGGAAGCGTTTTGAGCTTCACTTTCAAGTTTTAATATGGTCGTGCAAGTACCCACCATTATTCAATATTCTCCATGGTTAGAGAAAATAATCAATCATTAAAGCCTAACTTCTTCCAGGAAACCCTAGCTTTTCCTTGATTAGCAACTAAATAGGCGTTCTCACGTAGTATTTCTGGTCGAAAATCATTTTCCATAATGTTCTTGTAATCAAATCCCACATTGCATGTTCATGCATGTTTGTGATCTCTCTTCAATGATACTTCTCTCTTGGTTTTGTTATCGTGCTTAACGTGCTATAATTTTGAAGTTTCTCTAAGTACAGAGATCTTACACTTGTTTATGTCGAAGATATTTCATTAATTGAAGTTAATTAAGATGATTGACCAACCACTGAAAACATATTATCTAGTGTCCTAGACGACGCTCGGAAGCTATCGAAATAAAGCACACCTCTGATTTCCAACCCAAAAATACTAATAAAAGCATTTCTCTTTAATCAGTGAATGAATTTAAATTGCTCAAAGCCATAAGTAATGGTAATTCCAATTGGATCTTCTTCGTTAGTTAGTAGTATAAATTATAACAGAAGAAAATTCATCATCGTAGAGTTTGATGGGAACTAACAAATCTTGATTGAACAGCAAAGCAAAGAAGTAGATGTTGGTGATGTAGCCAACTAAATCTGGCGTCTGCAACCACCTCCAAACAATTCCAATTTCACAAAATCTGATTGGTTATTGTTATGCACCATGTGCAGGTGGTGCTGGAAAATACAACTAGGTTGTGCTCAAGCAAACCTATTGTCACTGTGAACGGACGCTACCCTGGTCCCACTCTAGTTGCCAGAGAGGATGACACAGTCCTTGTCAAAGTGGTCAACCATGTGCAATACAATCTCTCCATCCACTGGTAAATCCAAATTTCCCACCATCGATCTTTCTTTGAAGTAATCATTCGTGCCAACTAACATTGATATTTCCTGTGGAGTAGGCATGGGATCAGGCAAGTACGAACTGGTTGGGCAGACGGGCCGGCATATATAACCCAGTGCCCGATTCAACCAGGGCAGAGCTATGTGTACAACTTCACCATCACTGGCCAAAGGGGAACCCTTTGGTGGCACGCACATATTCTCTGGCTAAGGGCCACCGTCCATGGTGCCATAGTTGTCTTGCCCAAACGTGGTGTTCCTTATCCTTTCCCCAAACCCCACAAGGAAGAGACTATTATATTAGGTGTGAGAGCAAGATAAAAATCATTAATAATGTTGCTTCTCATAATTTATTTCATCAATAAATTGCTTAAATTGTTAGGACAAATTTTGACTGGCGACTTGGAATGGTACTAGTTGCTACGAAATTGTGGATGTTGCCTTTTTAGAAAGCTTAGTATATATTCGATTTTTTGTATGTAGGTGAATGGTGGAAATCAGATGTGGAAGCCGTCATCAATGAAGCTTTGAAATCTGGCCTAGCCCCGAATGTCTCTGATGCTCACACCATCAATGGCCACCCAGGACCTGTCCCCAGCTGCCCTGCACAAGGTAAAGAAGTTTCATATGCACATTAAATTAACACACGTATCCATGACCATGAATATTTTTCATTTGATCAATTCCCCTATATATTTTTCTCAATTTGCAGGAGGATATACATTGCGAGTTAAACCAGGAAAGACATATATGCTTCGAATCATCAACGCTGCACTGAATGAAGAACTCTTCTTTAAGATTGCCGGCCATCAACTCACTGTTGTCGAGGTTGATGCCACATACGTGAAACCTTTCCAAATAGAAACCATTGTTATAGCCCCAGGACAGACCACGAATGTCCTCCTCACAGCCCACCGTGGCGCAGGAAAGTACTTGGTTGCAGCCTCACCTTTCATGGACGCACCCATTGCAGTAGATAACGTGACTGCCACTGCCACCTTACACTACTCGGGTAGTCTTACCAGCACTGCCACCACTCTCACATCAACCCCTCCAAAAAATGCTACCTCGGTAGCAACAAATTTTACAAATGCACTACGAAGCCTGAATTCAAAACAATATCCTGCTAATGTCCCTTTAAAAATTGATCATTCCCTTCTCTTCACCGTTGGCCTTGGTATTAACCCTTGCCCCTCATGTGTTAACGGAAGCCGTGTTGTGGCCTCTATTAACAATGTTACTTTTGTTATGCCTAAAATCTCTCTACTTCAAGCCCATTTCTTCAACATAAGTGGAGTTTTCACTACTGATTTCCCTGGAAACCCTCCTGTTCCATTTAACTACACAAGCACGCAGCTAACAAACTTTCAGACCAAACAAGGAACAAAGCTGTATAGACTTGCTTATAACTCCACCGTGCAGCTTGTCTTGCAAGACACAGGGATGATTACCCCAGAGAACCACCCTGTTCATTTGCATGGATTCAACTTCTTTGAGGTTGGAAGGGGATTGGGGAATTTCAACCCCAAAAATGATACGACAAAATTCAATCTTGTTGATCCTGTTGAAAGGAACACAATTGGAGTTCCATCTGGTGGATGGACAGCTATAAGGTTCAGGGCAGACAATCCAGGTATGAAGTTCATAGTTTCATTTTTCAAGTATGATCCGGCTGAAAATAGAATTTCTTAGTCTAAACCTTAAAGAATGAAATATATTTTTCTCTTGTTTGCAGGGGTTTGGTTCATGCATTGCCATTTGGAAGTGCATACGACTTGGGGGCTGAAGATGGCATTTGTTGTGGACAATGGCAACGGCCCAAATGAAACTCTTCTACCACCTCCCAGTGACCTCCCCAAGTGCTAGAGAAAATCGATGAAGCCTGGAGAAATAGCTGAAAAAACCAGAAGACATGGAAATTTTATTGAGCGGCTGACAGCTAATAAGTAATAAGAAGAGTTCTTTTTGGGCAAGCCAAGGAAAGTTGCTCCACATTGAATAAAAAGACAGCTGAAATTCATTTCCCTTTTTTTTTGTTCTTAATTTGGTTTCCATAAAATATGGCCTGCAAGTTTGAGCTATAAAGTTGTGCATATATGCTGCTAATTTAGAGGTTTCCAAATGTTTATTGTATTCATAAATCCTGTTTGAAATGAAGCTTAATTGCTACTTATTGTTATTTGTTCTCTTTTAGCCATATTCATTTAACATGAAAAGGAAGCTAACATAAGCATAGCCAACAGTAAAGCCAAGGATGGAGGCAGGGAATAAGCATGCCTCTATTAATAATTAATTACATACATGCATTTCTCTTTTTCTACTAAGATACAGACCAAAGCTTTGGTTTGGGCCTCAGAGTGATCACCTGATGTGGCAGCAGGTACTTGGGTAGGTAGGCAAGGCATAGCTTGAAGCCTGAAGCATTTGCTATCTCAAACCCCTAGGCCCAATCATGAAGGGAGGGCTTTGCTCTTTTAAACGATGCAAGTCTTTGGTTAAATGGGCTGCTCTGCGCGACATTGAATGTTGATTTTGTGGCTGAAAATCTTGAGCCTCGACATAATTCGGCATTTGGTTAAAAAATTGGTCCTTATCCCCATGCCATTTTTCATCTGTTTCACTAACCAATCTATGCTTCAATTTACTCTTCCCATATGCCCATTTCATATCTAATACCATCTATGTAAATAATAGTGCCATCAATTCAGTAATTGGTTTTCTTGTCATCCTCCTAGACTGGCAAAACAAATGCAAGTTGCATGCAGGAAGAGGGCTAGTTGGACACTGCCACTATCGAGCCCACTGTCCTCCGGATCTTAATTCCAACCAAGCACACTTGTCCTACTTTATGACTTTTAGGAAAGGGAACAACATTGAAAAGGAATCTTTCCTTTAATGGTAACAAAACTGTCGTTGGTGGTTCAATTATTATTATCTCACATAAATTTTGCTGCATTTAGCAGTCGCTTTCTCCCCCCATCTCCCCACACCACCATGATCATTAAACCACCCCACCCCCCAGTTGCATTCAAGGGTCAATGCTCCTTTTATTTTCCAAATTTAAGGGCACTAAGCTTATACATAAAACAACAGAAAAAGGGTAAGTTGGAATTGATTTTTTTGTACTTTGAACTTGGTATTTTGTCACTTTCCACAGTGATAAATAACTCAATTTGAATGAAAATTGCTAAGGCTGTTGTTCATATTGTTAGTATGCTATGGAGTAGAAGATTGTAATTTGAATCAAAGCCAAAATTTTGGTGCAACTCAATAACTCATTTGGAAAAATATGAGGAGAGAACCAGCCAACTACTTTTATTATTGCGAGGTCAGAGCAAATATTTAGTGTATCCTTTTTTCTGCTGTTTCCAACTTTCCCATAATGTGTAAGCAGTCCTCAGAACAAAATTAAATATGCAGAGAATATGTGACAGAAGCAAATTCAAAGAATATTTATTTATATATATAGTGAAATAATTAATTTAGAAATAAATATATGGCCAACCCTGCTTAAATCATACTAAGTATAAAATGGGACATTTATGTTTACCCTATACTCACACATGTTGTTGGAGGAAAAGGCTTAATATTATTAAAAAATTAAGTCATTAAACCATGTTGTTTAATTTAAAAGCTCAAACTTTTTTAAAGTTAATTCTGTATCCTTCCTTGTTGTTTGGAGATCTCAATAGTGATTAGTTGTATATTAATCCCATCCCATTACAAAATCTTTGTCTTCATGTAATTTTGGAGGGCATGCATGCATGACTTGATGGAGATTAAAAGATGACATTAACCCACAACAAAAGAATCTATTTTTTTATTGCTATCTACACATCTGCAAAACCTCTAAGCACTAGAACAAATCTTTTGTGCTTTTTTTTTTTTAGTTTATTAGTCTTTTGCTGACAACATATTATATTTTAAACAAGCATTTTCCAATTTATTCCCTACGAACTATGGGAGGAAATTTCAATATATAATAAATAATAATCATAAAAAGAAGGGCCAACAAATAGCAAAAGTAATTTCAGCATATATTTTAATAATTAAACCTATTTTGGTTGTTAATATATATTTATTACGTATTTTTTAAAACTTTTGAATATGTGAATACAATATTAAATGTATTACTAGTTAAATTTTTTTAGAATAACAAATTACATGATTTTTTCTTTTATATGAAGCGTATTACCTGAATATAGGTATAGTCTATTTTAACTATGGATTTAATTTAATAAATAAGAGATAATAATAATCAAAATAAGATTTTAAAAATCTAAAATTTCTTCTTTTTTTTTTTGCTTTTGGGATAATCTAAAAATATTCACTCCAAAATAAAAATAACTAAAATGGGGGAAAATCCCATATAGAATCGTAGTTCAAAAGAAACACGTGTATGGTTTTCTGTTGTACACTTTGCTTTTTTTATTTTTTAAAGACATCATCTTGGGTATAGAATATGAATTATGAAAGAGCAAATTGATATAGTTTTGACAAGTCGATGGACACGTTTTCTCATTGAATTTGGTGCGAGGTTCGAGGTGCCCACAATAATGTGGGCCCACCCAAAATAACATTCAGATGTACACGTGGCACTCCAGCATCTTTGCCACTTGATACGGATTTCTCTCTTAGACCATCCCGAGCCCAACTTAGATTGCCACACTTACACCTTCTTTTCTTGAAAAAAGAAGAAGAAATTATTCATATTTTAAGAAATTAATAAATTATTATTTCAATGATATCTTTGTGCTGATTTACATTATCCAAAAAATCAGCAGTCCAATATTTTTATAATTCAAAAAATATTTAATATTTTTACTTTTAATTAGTTTGAAATTGTCGTTGTCAATATTAGAATTTTCTCTCGATGGATGAAATAATAAATTGAATTTCCATTTTAACTTTAAAGAAGGATAGGGATAGGGCAATGAGAAATGCATGTGGGATTCATTCAAGTATTAATTCAAGCACACTGGAGCTTCTTGAGTCGCTGGAATTCCACTTAAAAAAAAATTAAAAATTGAAAGTCAAGTCACTAGCACACAATAAACAAAAATATTCCCCCCTTTCCCAAAATAATAAATAAATAAATAAATAATTGCCAGTATTAATTTATCCATTTGGTTGTTTTCAAGTGCACATTTCAAACAGTCGTGTCTAAATATTCTTAAACAACTGAATGATTTCATCATATTTGTCTATTTCTTTGAAAAATATAGCACTTAGTCGAATAAACACTAAAGAACAATGTTCTTTTCACTTCAATTGTAGAGAAACAATATTTCATTTCCCCCCCCTCCCTCTTCCAATATAGAATAACATGATCCTTTTTAGGCTTTTT